AAACTGTTAATTCCCTACTTGTTTCTTTCACAATAAGCAGTCATGCTTTCTCTTGATGGTAAGAGCTTTTTTTTCCTTTCTTTTTTTTTTTTGTTTTTTTTTTTTTAAATTTTATTATTTTTGTGTGCGTGTACCGTCAAATCAGATCTGACTGGTACAGAAGGAGATTGCTCCTCCTTCCCCAGCAGAGCATCTGGTGGATTCGAACCGTGCACCTCTGGGATTGTAGTTGCAGCTTCTTGCCACTAGGCCACCAGAGTTCCCCTGGTAAGAGCTTTTTAAAAGCAAACAAAAATTTAGTGGCACTCCTCTGTCAGTTCAAATTTACCAGCAGGTTCCAAGGGAGAAAGATGGGCAATATCCTCCTATATGATTTAAGGCTTCCAGACTTCTGCTGTTCACACTGAACAAGTCAGTTATGACTCGGTTCCAATTCAACAGCATCAAAGTTGTTGACCTGTTTAGTGACAGAACAATTAGGGTTAAAGGGGGTAAGTTTTGGTTTATATAGGAAATCTTATGCGTAGGAAATAAACTACAGACAGTGACGTTGCTTGAGCCTTTAAGATCATGCAACTATCATGACTTTATTAACCTTTCTTTTTTGAAACCATGTACTTTAAAGGAGATGTTCACATCCAAAGATCTTAAAAAGTTTCTTGGATAGATGAGATTTTCATTCTTTCCTTTAACAAATTAAACAAACATTTTTTTCAATTACTGAGCTAAAAGCAGTGGTACAAAGCCAAATAAGACCTTCTCTTATGATGCTTATTCTGAGATGAGGAAATACAGGAATAAACCCCACAAGATGACTGTACTGACAGAGACTAAAGACAAAGACTGATGCTATCATGAATTTATATTTGAAGGTTTCTCAATAGGTCACCTTTCAGTCACATCATAGACTGTTTGTACATTAAATAAATAGTATCGATCATAAGTAATGTGCTGTTTAAAAACTAACTCCGTGAGGTCAAATGATCAACATTTATCCAAAAGAAAAAAAAATAAGGTGAAAAAAAGAAGCTAGATTCATGGAAACAGAAAAAGAACAGAATGGAAATAAGAACAGTACTTGCATAAAACTTGTTTAAAGGGTATCCAATTTGCTGTGTACGCTTTTGCCTAAAACACAAAAAACCAGTATTTTGCAAAACAAAACAAGGTAAGCTATATAACAACTATGCACAAGGAATCAGTGGTCTCTGATTCAGATGAGAAACCACTATTAGAAACCACACAGCATGCAAAGCAATAGGCATTAAATGAGTCAGAAGTGAAGATACTGACTGGATTAAGAATAAGGTGGCTTCAACGAACTGAGACTAAGGCAAACATTTAAAATAACAAAGTGTCTCATTGTGGTTTTGATTTGCATATCTCTTATTGCCAGTGATTTGGAGCATTTCTGCATGTGTTTGCCATTCTAATATCTTCCTCTGTGAAAATTCTTTCCATGTCTTTTGGCGATTTTATAATTGGATTATCAGTCTTTTTCTTGTCAAGGCCCAGGAGTACTCTGCAAACTTTTGTTGTAAGACTCTTGTCTGAGATGGTATTATCAAATATTTGTTCCCAGTCTGTAGGTTTTCTTTTCACACTGCTGGAAAAAGTTTTTGATGTGCACAGAGAGGAATCTTTAGAAGGTTCCATGCATCAATTTTATCCTCTTTAGATTGTGCATTTCTGGTTGTATTTGTCAATCTCTTTATACCTTGGACTAGCACTTCTAACCTTGATGCCAGTTTGTCTCTTATGAACATTATGGTTTGAGTTGATTTCTGTGTATGGTGTGAGATGTGGATCCTGTCTCACTAAAGTAAGAGTGGCAAAGTTTAACAGAGCAGCAAGTAATACATGTTGGAGAGGACGTGGCAAGAAAGGAACTCTTAATACATTGTTAGTGGGACTGTAAAATGTGTGCAACCCATTCTGGAAGGCAGTTTGGCACCTCCTGAAAAAGGCGAACATAGAAATTCCATATGACCCAGCTAATCCACTACTTGGAATATACCCTGAGAATGTGAGAACTAAGGCACAAAATGAGATTTATTTTTTTTTTGCTTTTTCTTATTTTAATTGTAAAAGATTTACCAAGAAAAAAAAAGACTCAAGCAGCAGCAGTAGCCAGGAGCAGGCCACAACCTCCTGGACAAAATGAGATTTGAACACGAATAGTCATAGCAGCATTATTCACCATTGTAAGAACATGGAAACAGCCCCAATATTCAACCACAAATGAATGGACTGAGATATTATGGTACATTCACACAATGGAATACTATGCAGCATGCAGGAACAATAATTTTGTAAATTATTACCTTACTTGGGAGGGACTGGAAAGGATTATGTTGAGTGAACTAACTCAATCCCACAATGATAAATATTGTATAAGACCATTATTGTAGAAAGAGTATAAGGATCCTAGAGGGGTGGGAGAGGCTGGAAGAAGAGGGATGTGGATGTACAGGGGTAAGAGGGGATTAATCATTAGGTTGTACAATTTGATGGATGGGCAGGTGAGCGAAATTGAAAGAATTTGTTAGAACTTGTAATAGAATTTTGTAAATAAACTTGTGAAAGAAAAAATAAAATTAAAAAATACTAAAATAAAATAACTAAGTGTCAGACAGGTCTTGTACTAATTTGACTCTTACATACACATGCAGATGAGTTTCCTTAGAAATAAAAAGCGGCACATTCATGTTTATTGCCACATTATTTACAAGAGAAAAGAGATTGAAGCAATCTAAATGCCCATCAACAAACGAACAGATAGAAAAACTATGGTCTACAGTGGAATAATATGCAGCACTGAAAATAATGAATTTGTAAAACATTACACCACATGGGGGAACCTGCAAAACATTATGCTGAGTGAAGCATCGCAGTCACAAAAGAAAAATACTGCATAGCGCCACTGCTATAAAGCAGGTCTGATATGGGGGGCTGGGAGGAGATTAGGATAAGAGTGGCTGGATAATGACCACTGCAGTAAACAGACGAAGTAAAGAACTGTCTAAAAAAAGTTTTTTTTTTTAAAAAAAGAATACATGATTAGGTATTATATGTAAAACAAAAGCCCAGAATAGTACGTCTATCACTGTAAAGAGGTCTGGAGGGTTGGGGGAAACTGTGCAACAATGAACAAATGTTAAAAAAAAAGTGAACTGGGGGAGAGGGAATAGAGGGAAATGCGGAGAAATGTGCCACAATGAATGAATGAATATCTAACTTCTCTGTAAATGTTTGTTAAAATCACAATTAAAATTTTATTTCAAAAAAAGAAATAGAAATTAAGGTAAAGTTTACACACAGAATCAATCTTGCATTATAGGGATTAGAAGGTGGGGGAGAGATTTAAAAATGAATAAAAATATAAGTTGGGTAAGGAAAGGCAAAATTACATTCATTGATGGCAAGTGATGTTATAAAACAAAATACCTTAACAGGGTAAAAAGGGAAGCCACAGATTGGGAAAAAGTTTTTGGTAATGACATGTCAGACAAGGGACTTATATCT